CTACGATTTGCATACATTTTAAGGATGTCTCTGTTCTTAAAATGTCTCCAAATCGTAGAAGACTAATTCACTCTAGAATATTTGTCTACAGTTATGAGCAGTTACAGTTTTCACAGTTACAGTTAACTGGTAAAAAACTGTAACTGGTGCATACCTACGTCAAAGCTGATGTACTTCGACGAGTCAGTGAAAGAAAAATTAGAAATCCTTAATTTTTTGTCGTTGTTATATACACTTGTAACCATTAGAACAAAAGGCGAATAACTTTTGAACGGTGCACCGAGCAGTATTCTTCGCACCAATATGTGGTTTCAGATCATATCGCGGTAACTTATGATATTTTTGAGAATCGCGGTTTACCAGCGTGTTAAATAAAAATGTTCAACGTGGGATAACAAGAACGTCGTTGTATAATTTTTTAATATATTTAGAAGTATACGTACTATTCAGATCACGCAAAATAATTATTTAATCTATGAAATTTGTTGTTTGTAGTCTCTTGAAACTGTTTTGTTGAGATTTTTATTTCAAAAAAAGGTTGGGGAAAGACTTAAAGCAAGTAAGTCCATTTTACATGTCCTACAATTTAAAAGGCTTTTCCGCTCTATTTAAAATCAGTATAGTTTTGAAGAGCTCATTGAGTTACGTGAGAAAACGTCTTTTTTGACTTGACAACTGATGCAGAAACCGATAAAAATGACTTACACTCGCAGCAAAATTATCGAATTTGGCACCATTCTCAACTCAATTCAATGATAATCTCATTGAATTTTACAACACAATATCCAGTTTTCAGAAAAGCGCTTAACGTTTTCATTAAAGAGTGCGACATAACTATAATCTCTAAGACTTTGAAGAATGCTCCATATCACACATTCGCAAGTCCGTGAACTTTTGTACATAAAGTATATATTTCGCTACTTTTAATTTGGATTTTGATAAAAACAAATTCTTACAGGTAAGTAAAGAACTCAACTAATGTATTTAAATTTTGAAAAGCTGCTGAAAAACTGGATATTATGTTGTAAAATTCAATGAGATCCTCATTGACTCGAATTAAGAATAGCGCCGAATTTGATAATTTTGCTGTGAGTGTAAGTCATTTTTATCGGCTTCTGGATCAGTTGTCAAGTCAAAAAAGACGTTTTTTCACGTAACTCACTGAGCTCTTCAAAACTAGACTGGTTTTAAATGGAGCAGAAATGTTTTTTGAAGTGTAAGATATGAAGGAAGAAAGATAGAATGGGCTAAAAACCCAACCCAGAACGTTGACTAATCGCGTCGATGCTCTAACTGAGTTATCTGATCCGGTTATAAAACGTCAGATAGGACATTTCAAACGGACAGGATTTATATTTTCGTTAATGATATCGTTCTAGACAAAACTAAAGTCAGGGGAACGAGCGAATCGTAAATGAGCGCTACTTGTTACATTACACCAGCTAGCTTTAATATATTTGAGATCTTTATGCATAGAGAAATGACTTCTGTAAAATCTTGATCATTTAACTATGATATTAAAAAACAAGAAAAGATACAATACAATACACAACAAGATTGAATGCTAAATCGTACACTCTCAAAACTGACGAGTCAACGCGCATAGAACGAGAAAGCAAAACAACAATGCAGATAAAGTCGTTTTGTGTATACAACTCAGTTCTCAGACAAACAGATCAACAAAATTTTGTCGATCTCAGCTTATGCAACAAAAACAATCAAAAATCTTTGTTAAAGAGATATATATGTGAATGTGCTGTGGCGACGTAAAACATGCATCTTAGATTTGTATCGCGCAGCTTCTTTCATATCACTAAGAATTCAAGATGGCGAAACGATTAAGTTTTTGTCGTCTTGTTAACATTTTTTTATTGAGTGATTCTGATTTGATAACTCTTTTCGGAATATTGTGGGTAGGGCTTTTGGGGTTGTATTGTGTAATACACTTTACAGACCATCCAGTAACTATTATATAATCAAAGAAGTGTAGTCTGATAAGGCCAGGAACTAGGAATTCGATGATCGAAGACGTTTAAAACAAAAACTTCAGTTGATGACCAAGGTGCTAGATAATTTGTAGATGGTTTTCGCGTTAAATCCTGCCTGCAGAATTCTCAAGATATCCAAACATCTGTTAATCGTATGTTGAAGGACGTTTTTTGACATGGCGGTGAATTATCATGTTTTTCAACGGCCAATGATCGGTGTTTATCGTCATACGATTTTGGACATTCTATAGGATTTACTACTGCAGATGCTACTGCTGTCAGGTTTTTTCTGATTGATCGTCTAATCGACCCGTCACAGCTCAAGGCGATTGAATCACGATTGTGCACCATGAAATCGCAGTCGGTATGAGCTGTGACGAATCGATTAGCTGATCAATCAAAAAAAAACCTCATTGGTTTTGTGTGCAACGGGCATCAGTAGTCTTTGGCTTAGATGATGTTATGAAAAGTACTAACTGTTTCAGAAGCTTTTTGAAAATGTTTTATTCCTTTGTACTAGAAATTAATCTAAGAATTATATTATCAAGGACCTAGAAATATTTAACAGGCAGTTTTATCAAAAACATACTCAGTGAAGAGAAAGAAGCTTAACGGCATATATTTTCAACTTTAGAGCACAAGCTATCGTTTTCTATATTATTTTATTTTACATTTTTTGCCACAATGGAGAGTTTTTATAGAATTCCGTTTACATTTGTACAATGTCCTAACATCAAGTTAAAAAAACCATCATGGTTTAGAAAACCGTCTAATATGATGTAGGTATTCTGCTGTTTTTTTGATTAATTAAAGATTTACTGTTACAATCTTTTTTCAGGGTATTTGCTAGTTTACTACTCTCTTATTTTCTTGTTACAGCGGGTAAGACAATATTGAGGGTAATTTTTCTTTGGTTACAAAATTTTGTCATTATATTTAGGTATCATCTATGATATAATTGTTGAACCACCAAGTGTCGGTACGCAGAATGTCTTAAGTTTCGACATATCCTTTTTTTTACCTTAATTTTTTTTCTTTCTAGGAAGTACTACAGATGAATATGGACATCATAAACCGGTATATATGAATGTTTTTTAGTCGGTTTCTTATGTTTATCCTTTCTTTGTTTTGTTAGGTGGCATTTATGGCATGGCGTATAAATGGACAGTACATAATGGAAGGTAAAATAAAATATAAAATCAATGCTATTAGAGACATCCTTTATCGACAAAATCGATCGTTGTACATTTTAGGCTTAGCTGCGTCATTTATGTTTACACTCGGTGGACTCGGATTTATTATACTGGATTTGACAAATAAACCAAGCATGCCTAAATTAAATCGTATATTGATGTTGATATGTTCATTCATTTTCATACTAGTTGCATTTTTTACAACAAAAATATTCATCAGAATCAAAATGCCGTAAGTATTATCATATTCGTTGTTAATATTATCTCACTAATTATGAATTGTTTTTCTAGGAGTTATATGAACTAAGCCATTGTCTTGAAATAGAATATAGGCATAGTAGTCGACACTTTTTGGAGATTTATATATCTTTGTTGTTGTGTATTTTTAGTATATGGCCTTGATTGTTACTGTCTTTTTTTTATTGTTATTATTGTTGAATGATATCTTGTTTTCTTACTATTTAATTTTAAAAAAAAGTTAAAAAATATGAGCTCGAGCTTTATGAATTCAAAGTTTTCATTTTTGGCCTTCCAGTAAAAAGGTCAAAAATGAGGAAAAGGTTTGCGCTAGACTAATCGAAGAAAAGCATATTTGTTGAAAAAATCTGGTATATCTATATAACCAGAAGGAGTACTTCGCTATTTTGAACAAAAGACAATTTACATTTCGAGACTGGCCATATTTACATGAGCAAAATAATGTTGGAGTTAAACAAGAAAAATCAACTAAACATGCAGAATTTAACCAGTCGATAAATTCACCATGCAAATTCCTCACAGCGATATCTTGTATATTTGGCTAATTTTTCACGTCTTGTTGTATGAGAGCATACATGATATTTCCTTTGGGCAGCTCTTCTTGACGTAGTTGAGGGTACAAGTGATGGAAAATGTCTAGTAGATAAACGTAATGGTGAATCAGTCGATGGTCTCTCAACAGAAATTCGTTTTTGATTGCCATATTTTGATATAATATTTTTTATCACTTGAAGACGAAACTCTTTCAACAGTATATTCTTTGACTTTT